TTGCCAATACAACAGATAATCAATATACCAAGTCATCTTGATTTCGTACGAGGTCTGTATTCCAACCATGAATTAAAGACTATTGAACAATTAGGTACAGTATGCTATAAACACATATAAGAAGCAGGATAGCACATTGGTAGTGATGTCCGTCACCACGATCATGGTGGAAGATCGATTCCGCTCCGGGTCAACCACGCCTCTCATCCTTCCGGGGTCGGAAAATTGGTCCTGGACCTATCTGGGAAAAATCACTCCCTGCAATCCAACTGGGAACGCTCCAACCTGGCTAACTTAGGACTCCAGGGAGAATCCACTTGACCAGCATCCTGCGACATTTAAGATGAAATGAGAATCATCAATCAATAACAGAAGCTACACGTAAAAGTTGGGTGACCATCATGGACAATGGATGCGAGGAAACGAATCGAATGGAGAAGTGCTGGGATCCGCACAGTAGACATGAAAGACGGATAAAATAAAATAAAAAAATGCTATAAACACTGAACCCTTCATAAAATGACTGGGAAAATCATCACTTCACTTTTGGCTAGCGTTCTATTTCCTCAGTATTCGTAGGCGATAAGCAAAACTCTACTTCTTTTCTCGATATAGCTCTGTAGAAATGTGAAATCTCAGTCGGAAAATCAATAAAGATCACAAGATGAATGCTTTAAGGCATTTGAAAGAGTACATCAAAAATATTTGGCTATTCTAGAAGGTGAACAGTATCTCTAAGAAAATCTGCATAGGCAAATATTACAGAGGAGACTGAATGTGTACCATCATCTTCAAGTTCTTTAGAGCGAATAGCTACCGAAATAACGAGTTCGTTTTGAATACTTTTACAAGATGTTCCGATTTCAATCGTTACCGAAACGTAGACTGACTTACGAGGCTGTTAAAAATGAGTAGGGTTCTGAATGTCTTGCTAGGAGAGGGGTTCTGGATTTCCAATGTGCAAGAATTGATATAAACATTAAATAGTCCCATTTCTTATTCATTACATAAAAATCTAACAGATATTAGGTAAGTCAGAAAGCCATGTGAAATTTCACAGAGCCGTCAAGTACTATGCAGTAAATTGACTCTTTGAAACAGCTCAGAATATGGCACATTACCACGTCGTAACTAGTATGGCGTTATATGAGGTGGTTGGTTGACTGCCAGGAGAACACTACCGTCGTAGCGAAAGTATACAGGGTCTTAAATCTTCACAAAACATAGTATGAAGCTGAAGAGCTCTAGATAAATAAACACTTGTTTTTCTCATTTCAAAACCCTAAATTGAGAACTGAAATGGTACACTGAATAAACATCTCATGGCTTAGACTACTTAATACAAAGATTATAAATCAAACAGCCATAATAAAAAAAAAATAAAGGATAAAGCTGTCGGCGTTGATCAATCCTTGAGGGATACGCCGCACTTTCGACTTCATTAAGCATCGCTTGAAGGTGAGTGGGTGCGTATCTGGCCTTTACGATAACTCTCTGTGGCCTGCCGATGTATCAAGACAGTGCTGCCGTCCTCTCAGACAAGTCTGGTACCAATTTGCCGACTCCGGAGAGATGGAAGGCTTGGTGGGCTATAGGCGCGAGGATCGATTCCACGTGTGTGTTGCAGGGTGCCTCCGACCAGTGCACCACGCACGACCACCAAACTCCCACAAACACTCACAAAAGAAAAAAGATGTGAGGGGATCACTGAAATCACAAGTAAGACATAAACAGCCTTAATCTGGTCTTAATTTCTCTCAAAACCACAATTACAAATAAAATCAAATCACCGAATGCGCGATCGAGTCACTTACTTATCAATGCCAAACAACCCGTCAACATTTAATAAGCTGGATGGAAGTTGAATGCATGTTAACGCTCCGTTTCCTTTCTTAATGCGGATACATAATGAAAAGGGTCTAGTTAACACAATGGCATTGATGTTGTTCAATACACGCAGAGTCCTGGTTCAGCCTAACATCACGCCCATAAGTTTGCCATCTCTCCGGGGTCACGATAAGCTGTTGCCATACTTATCAGAAATCAGCTTTCTCCCTCCATTCCTCACGGAATGGCAACTGAATTTCATAAAGATCACCCTAGCAAGGCTATCAGAGAATTCTAGCAAGAAGCGACACAACCAACATTCCGCTAGGTTTATAAAGAATAGTAATTAATGATTTTCAACTGGCAGCCGAACCCACGAGCAAAACCTGAAGATTTCGTGGATGATGGGTGCAAAAAAACGAGTCGAACGCAACAAGGGTGATCTGCACAATGCGCACTGTCAGGTCATCTACCATCTATAATTGGCTCCTTCAACAATGGTTTACAAGACGACACTGTACTGACAAGAAATATTGATGAAACACGACGATTAGTCCAGTCCTCTCCTATCCAAAACAGCTTTTCCGGGATTCTGCTGCGTCAGTTTTAGTTAAAACTTTCGTATACATGTAATTATCTTCAGATATATGAATAGTTTGCGTGCTAGCGCCCATTCGGGTTGTATTCTGCTTGTATAAGAGGAAAAATAGGTAACGGTTGAGGTATCGCGTGCGTGTAGTGCAGTGGTTCGTGGTGTTCTGCAATACATGCATAGTGTTTAGTTCGACTCTGTTTCGTTAGCAAGCCAAGTCTCCCATTCGTCCTGATCAGCAAATTGATCCCATACTTGTCCTGGCAGATAAATAAGAACGCTGAATTGTTATATTGATAGACCACCGCAGGTTACTGCAAAGGCCGATCAATCATTCGGTCATTCACCGAGGCATTCAATCACCTATACGATGTTCGATAGAGTCGAGTCGTATTCCTCAGGAATTTACCTATGGTGAGCAACTTACCTTCCATGTATATTCGGCTAAAGACCTTCAAGTCACTGTGAGTTGCACAATAAACAGCTCTGTATCGTCTCCTTAAGCTCCATGTCTACTGCGAAAGAGCCTAAGGAGACACCCAGGGTGATATCCATAACCTATGCGCCTATTACAGCCCCATCCCGTGGTTACTTTGAGCCCGAAAATATTAAGAATAGTCACGCGAAAAGTGTGTTCACCATGTCCCCCGAGTGAACAATGTGGGCAGTTCTGGTACATAACAAGGACAAACTTTAAAACAGTGATCGTTTACGTCACTCACCTAATAACAGCAGTACATAGTAGTTTTACTACCTGTACGTTGCCAATTTCTAGTAAGTTCTGTATTCCTCGCCCTTTTTGATTTTGGCTGTTTCGCTACGCCTTTGTTCCCATGGGTCATTCCTTTTTGATGGATTTCTCCTTGTAAGCATATAAAAACGAACGAAGATTTTTTTAATCATTTGACCCGTCCTTAGGTCTACTCTGCGAATCCCAGCACTTCTCACCTCCGTTTCCTCGCATCCATCGCTCACGAAGCCCTTCCAAGTTTTTACATGTGATTTCGGTTACTGCTTGAGGATTTTCATTTTATCTTGAATGTCGTAGAGTGCCGGTCAAACAATTTTCCCTAGAATCCTGAGATAACAGGACTGGAGCGTTCCCAGTTGGATTGTCGAAAGTGGTTTTTTTTTCAGATAAGTCCGGTACGAATTTCCCGACCTCGGAGGGATAAGAGGCTTGGTTGGACCGGAGCACCATGCTCATGATGATGGACATCACTACCACTGTGCTATCTGCCCCATAAAACACCGATAAAATATTTTAAAAAACTTCTAAACAACATTTAGCATTAAAAAGTCGAACCGTGCCAACTTTTTAAGTAAGTGATTCTTGTGGTGCAATACCAACCGTGGTCGGCTTTGAAAGCATACTGTACAGTGTAGATAAACCCCATATGGGAAAGAGGAGGTAGAATGACTGTATGGTCTGTTATGAAAGCAAAGGATTAGAACTTCATACCTGTTCATACATCTTTTTCCTTAATAAAAAAAAATTTAAGCATATCTTTCGTGGACATCTTTGAAAAGTAGGCGGTCCCCATATCGATCGCGACGGTTGGTTGGTCGGTCGGTGGTGAAAAGGATAGTGGGGGGTTGTGACCTTGAAACACTACCGCCACCACTTCGATGGACGGCTACTTCACCCATAAGACGCTCCTACACAGGTGGGTCAGCTCTTTTCAACAAATACATCACCTCTAATCCCGTTAATTTCCAAGCGACATAAATGGACAGAGGAAATGTCGTGATTTCCGCCAGCGCTAAAACTGCCTCATTCTCTCCTCGGCCTCGCCTTTCACATAGTACGCATTGGGTTTATTTGTTGGACACGACCACGGATCTTCCGCTTGCACTCCTGGCCACGTAATGGCAGGGTTTTGGCCCATTGGATGTGCAGGATAGCTTTTATAAAGGCACACCTATGAACTGATGCACGAGTAGACCTACCCATATGAGAAAAGCATAAGTCACTCCAGCGCTGCAGAAACCTCGAGATTGTCACAGGAATAGACTTGCATTTCAGGTCGATTACATGAACAACTTCGTTTCTTAACTGAAACTTGACCACGCGTCGCATAATTTCACGACTAGACGACTCGAGATTTCTTAAATAAAAGGGAAACCTGTAATTACTCAGTCCAAGTTTGTCATTCAGTACTGCCTTAATTCAATGAGTTGAATATAATGATCTCTATAGATCTACAGTGCTAAGGAAAAGATGAAAGTGAGACCTACAGTGGTAAAAACCTAGAAAAAAAAGAGAACTGCGACTGATCTGCCCATCATATCATTTCCACTTGCCAAAAGGAAAAACTCTAGAATGATAGGATATTTCTAATTCTTTCAACTTTTTAAAATAACGAAGTTTCAGAAAGCACATTATAGCACAGTGCAAGAGAAACAGGACAAGACATTAGATCAAAAATCGCTTCTGCTTATACTTTACTAGTAAATCAAGAACAATTCTACAGGTGATACCTATTTCAGGACAAACTATGTGAACAATATTAAACGCACCTGATTCACCATGTCGCACTCTATACTAGTACAATAGTGAATGGTGGTAATGTGATGAGCGATGGGAGTAAGCACATCGAGCGGCCGTCGGTCGGCGAGCGCCAACAGGTGCCAGGCGGGGGAAGCACACGAGCGACATCTGGCGCCGACACAGCGCGCCCGACTCGAAAACGGCGCCAGATTTCGAAAATTCGAACCGCCGTCCGTCTGTCCGCGTGGACGGCAGTCCGTCCGCGTCGGCGACACTCCGTCAGTGTTGGCCGGTGGCCGGCCGCCAGCGCCGGCGGTAGTGGTGGTGACCTTGACCGCCGGTGGCGCAGTCACAGCAGGCGGGCGACGACGAGAACCTGGTCGTCTGCGTGCTGCGTTCCTCAGCAGTTCGTATCGGGTTTTCGGTGATTCGATCTCTAAAATATACTGGTACACTTTGCTGTAGTCTTTTCAGTCCGATTTTATAGGGTAAGTTTATAGTCTTAAAGCGACGGTTAAGATGGCCGATATTAGCGTACTTAATCAGCAGCGTTTTCAATCGATTCTATTGATATCGGAACGTCAGCATCACTAACGAGACCGATTTCATTTGAACAAAGATTGGATGCGATGATTAGTTGAACGTTATGAGGTGTACTTCGTACCGGTATTCGATTTTTCACAAGTGTACAACGTGTGCACAAAGTTCTGTCCTTCTGTTTTGTTTTGAACAAACTAACAGCTGTGTTCTATGTGTGTTTGACTATGGTTTTCTTTAGCGCGAAATCACGTCTGACCCCTCTTGGATAGTTAACAATCAGGTTTTCGAATCATTTTCTCTTCATGTCGTTTGCGTCACAGTTTTCTGATCTGGATGTTCCTCTGAGTCGTACACGATGTGATATGACTAGAGACACATTCAGCTTGGATATGTGACAAATCGTTATCTACATAACTTTCGTCGTTTCTCCCCGACGACCAACGTGCTCAAATCGAAAGCCGCAACGCATCGCGCTGAGGCGTCGACCTTCGCTATGTTCGTTCCATTGCCGCGCGATATCGCGACTGACTAGGACTGTTGGAGGTGACTATGTGAAGGGATTGGAATGCATTACACACTGTGTTGTCATCACGGATCTGTGCACTGTATTTCCATTGCCTCACTGACTACATATTGATCAGAACGTACTTTTGATCTTAGATTACATAATGGCAACAGAAAGTTCTCATTTGAGCAATGGTGCATCCTGCTATAGTAGGTTTCTTAGTTGATAGCGTCAACTTAAATGGGTTCAACGCCGATTTGTGCTCTCCAGATTATTACCGTGGACAGATGATTGCTGACGGCGCCGTTTTGGTAAAAGAAAAAAGAAACTGGCTGAGAGAAATGCAAAGCAGGAGTGTCAGTGGTGCAGTGGGTAACACATGAGCCCCGGAAAGGGTAGTCACGGGTTCGAACCTGAAGTGGAGCCTGATCTCTGCAAATATTTCAGCGTTATTGTGGTTATACTTCACATAATATCCTGCATGAAGAATAATAGACCATAAATAGAACTTTAAGCAGTTTATTGTTTTTCTGTTCATGTCAAGGTCCTACATTAACCTCCGAATAAATTTTAAATAATGGAAGGAAGGTGTAAGCCTGCAGCTCCTAGAGAAGCTGCTTCTGTTGCAACAAAGTTTCCTGGTATGTGGCCCCGAGATTGTAATTTGTCGAATCACATATGATTCGACATAGCATCATTTGCGTTTACTCTCCATCCATTATTATCATAAATGGAATATTAGGTTGATTTCTACGCCTCCGGGATGGGTTCAGTTAAAGAGTGTGCACCGTTCTCAACTCATCTTATAAATTACTGCGAGTAATGACGCTCCTCATTGCTTTGAAGCGTGTGTAGCGCAGTGGTTAGAATTACCATGAATACGCTTAGAATACACGTAATGCTTAGTTCTATCTCGCGCCACTGTCTCACCAAGACTGCCATCCCACCAGGTCGCAAATTAGTGCTAGATTTGTCTGGGGCGATAGCAGTAGTGACTTGACAAGTCGGTGAGCCACTGCAAGACGTTATATAGGTCAGATATCCATTCAGTTACCTCAGCCGATGCCTGACGATGTCGGGTGCATTGTGCATCACTCAGGGACTGATAATCCCCGAAAGCTCTATGCTTTGTCGTTTATCCTCATTTGTTTGTTAACTGATCTGATAGAAATTGCAGACAGGTTTCTTGGTATGAAGCTAAATGCGGTCCTTCATCCACGAACTCCAATCATTGAACCAAAGGCTAATATTTCCATTTAGAAAGCCAGCAAATTCTCCAGTGTTAATGATCTATGCTATCCTGAAGCATTTTTAGTGCAGATCAGCAAAACTTCGTTGTATTCATAAATATCATCAATTAACTGTAGTGATGAGCTGGGAAAACCCAAACATAACTTTTCCAGCACTCTAGTGGAAAATTCTTTGCCGAATTAGTAAAATTCTAGTCGAATGTTGATAATACTGTGATCCACAGGATTTTTATGAATGCGAGCCATTCACGCATCGAGAGTCGAATTTTCGCTAACAAACTTCATCCTTTTGACTGTATTACCAATTTCTTAGATGGGCATGTTATTAGTGTTACTGGGATGATACGAATGCTTTCTTGTCCTGTTATTTTATTCATTTTACTTATTTCATTTGACCCGCCTTCACGTCTACTGTGCGGTTCCCAACACTTCTCACATTCGATTCGTTTCCTCGCACCTATCATCCACGAAGATCATCCAGTTTTACGTGTTTCTTCGGTTGCTACTTGAAGATTTCCATTTCAGCTTGAATGTCGTGAATGCTGGTCGAGTCGATTCTCCCTGGAGTCCTGAGATAGCCAGGCTGGAGCGTTTCCAATTGAATTGCAGAGTGTTTTTTTCCTAGACAAGTCCGCTACCAATTTCCCGATCTCGGAGAGATGACAGGCTTGGTTGTGCCGGTGCGAAATTGAACTAATATCATGCTCGTGATGACGGAAATCACCATCACTCTGCTATCCGCCCTTTCTTGTCTCATTACGTGTCTAATTTCAAATCCTCTGTTTGACAGATGTTTAAGTCCTTCACCGTAAGCGAAACAAATCGTTCTTTTCACATGCGAGCTTTGGACAATGTCGCAGAGTATGTCACGTATAGGTGTACATTGCATTAGTAGCATCTTGGATGTACAGCTCCAATGTTGCGATGCTGCAACAGATTGCGATTGAACGAAATGCACAAGATACCGCGAAGCAAAGAAAGGAAGTCTTTACTGCTTCCACAGAAAACTGATTAGATGCTCCGTCCATAGTTATGCGAAGCGAATTCGAGAAGTTCCATTTGTTGCGCTGTTTCGTATATGATCAGAATCGGAGGTTTGGTGTGGACTCAACTACTGTTTGAGGATCTGACCTCTTCTTTCATTGATACTTCAAGTGGTGGTATAGCGTTGTTTTTATGGTGTCCCGAGATAGTCGTACCAGGGTGTTCCCAATACTTCGCCACAATTATTCTTCAACCTTTCTATTTCAGAATTTTGCCCGCCTGGCAACTAGGTTTCTTCCATTACATAAGTGATGGTTGTGATTTATGGATGATAACATGTGAGACAAAAGTATGGGGAAATACCATCTTAATCCGATATTCTGGTCGTGTGTTCTTACCTAATCAAAAACTTCTAAGTAGTGTACGAGCGAGGTGAAGCATTCTACAGCTGGTATAAGAATGGTAAAAATATAGTTTGTCTAAATGGATCGAGAACATTCTTCATGCGATTGAGAAGATTTTCTTGTGAACTATACTTTTTCAATAAAATGAGTAAGACTGCAATAAGAAATCTTAACAAAGTTACTCATGGGATTACTGTATGTCAGTTGCCATAAGGCTCAATTAGTTCATGGTTACTCAGTAAAAGTCGACCCGTTGTGTTGTGTAAATACTTTCAAGTGCTTCCTTGCACAGATAACTAGATATGGAGGGTCATTTTTGTCCTTTGTTGTAGTAGTATCGATTACGAATGTTCTAGAAGAGTTGTGTTATATTGCACGTTTTCTATCACCTTAAAAAAAGGATAAAGCTCTCGGCGTTGATCAATCCCTGAGGGATGTGCCATTCATTCGACTTCATTAAGCATCGCTTGGAGGTTATTGAATGCGTATCTGGCTTTTACAATGACTTGCGGTGCCGTACCGATGTATCGAGCCAATGCTGCTCTTCCCTAGACAAGCTTGGTAGCAATTTACCGATCCCGGAAGGATGGAAGTTTTGGTGGGACATGGGCGCTGGAATCGATTTCACTGTTGAAAGGCGCCTCCGACCACTGCGCCACACGCGCCCTGCTCATTCTACTCTGTTGATGACTTCAATAGCAAAGATTATGATCGCTAACCACTATCCTATCAATTCATCTTAATTATCTATGGATTATGAAATGAAAATGCATGCGTTCAAACGTGTTGTTAACATAACTTCCCAGCTTTAAGTAAATATATCTCCTCTCAGTGCGATTTCGAGATATTTGGTAACACTATACATGTTACTTTTTGCACTATCGTGGATAGAACTCCGTTTTTTCGGAACCACAAATCGTCTTTTCCCTTTGTTTCGGTGAGGTTGAAATCTTGAGTAGCGAAGCGATTGCAAAAGCTGAAATGTGCCCAGGATGACCGTATGATACCATTAAATGCATCGCTCATAACCTCACTTACGTTAAGTATTAAATAAATCCAATGCTTACTAACTTACATACTTGGGCGGCCCGTTTGCACTGGTTGTGCGGGCTCCAGCAAATTCTCCATTTTTGAGAGTTTTGCTGCTTTACCCATTGTGTTTCCCTGTTATTCCGAGGTCAAACTGGCAAAAGCTTGCTTCAGGTCGTCACCACCACAGGCAGTCGCCGTCCTTGTGGATCAGAGTGAGATTTGCCATCACGCGACTAGTTTGATACCAGAACGGTGGTGAATCCTGGTATTAGTTGACTCTTAGCTGGGCTTCTTGATGAAAGCGCCTGACTCCTTCTCAGCCTGGTAGACCGTACCGGGGGATGAATCGCTCCGCTGTAGATCGCAACCCGACACCCAGGAGCACCTCCCAACCACGATGAGGCGGTAGACCGTTGAGAGCATAGAAACCCAATATATAAACAAATTCAAAGTTGAGATATTCTTAGCATCTGAACAAGTTTAAATTGAGAGTGGTGTTGTAGGATTTAAATATATATGTATTTACATACATCCAGTTATAACGCCAAGTATTAGGAATTTAGAGAAAACCTCTTATTAGCCTGTAAAACCTTCGCGTTCTCAAGTGCTTTACCCAGTTGCCGAAAACCAGCATCATCTCAGCGCGTTAAAACGAGAACAAATATATGTCCATATTAGTCAATTTAGTGTCTAGTTGGTGTTTGCGGCCAAATAAATTTGGGAGTGTTCTTTATCTGTACCTCAGCTGAT